TGATTATTGACCTGAATAGGCGGCCTACGCAGGATACGGATGGGTGGTTGGCTCATAGAGACTCTTGACTACTCGGATGTATGAATGAAGGTGGGATTCAAACCTAATTTTTTTCAGTTTACCGACATTTTTACCCGATTTTTGGCTACAAAAGGACGTATTTACATCCCCCGTCCGGTCACGTAAAAATGACAGAGGTACATGACCTAGGCGAGCGCTGCGGTCCAGGGGGATCAAAAGTGGCGTCCATTTAAACAAAATAGGCGTTTCAGTTTTATCTAGTCGAAGTCATGGATATCCTGAGCTTGGACCGAATGTCGCTAACATAATGATAACATCAAATTCAAGCTAGGACTTTAAGTTCAATTAATTTTTCCTCAATGCTGTCTTACTGTATAAGATGTGCATAATTTGGGAACTGGCAAGAAACAGCTTAACATAACTGTGCTCTAAAAAATGCTCAGAAACGGACCAGGATTCTGTAGCTGCACAGCGGTGAGCGTGTGGAGCCTGTGTGCTACTACTGCCAGGTCAGATCTCATATTGTAAGGAAAAGACTAAATGGACTAGAATAAGGGGTTTAATGCATACCGAACACTCAGTTGTCCTCTCAGGCGGCAGTGGCCACTGGTGAAGCCAGGGCTGGTGTTGACTGCGTCCAGTCATGCCTGAAAGTCCCTAGGACAGTGGTTACGACTACTTTTGTAGGCTCGAGGGCTAAGCTCAAATGGTATCCAGTAGGTGTGTCTTGTATTTGGCGGGCGTTGGTGCCCCTGTGGCTCATGTTGTTGGTTGCAGGGGGTGGCACATCCAAGTAGCACATGGACAGCTGCGACTCTGTGCGGACGCAGGTATGCCCGAGCTTTTGGTCATGTGATTCCAGGTCAGAGCGTCTGGAACGGCCCACTGCAAAAGGTGAGTGACCTAGGGGCTGCGGGGTCTTGAGCAATCGCGCCACACCGGTCAGGATGGCTGTCCGCTAAAAGTCCACCAAATTTGTTACAGCAAGTTTTTTTTCAGGTTCTCTGCATATATGGCGAAACTCTTGTGTACTCTTCCAGGGGGAAGCCTGGTAAGTTAACTTACGGTCGCTGAGTCTCATTCACCAAACGGGTAATTAGGTGGGCCCGAAGACTGAACACTGTACTCTTAATCCTCGGAACACTACCTGACCTAATTTTACATACGTCCACTTTTAGAATAGTCGGTTCCCTAACTGGCCGGGTTAGTGTCCTAACTCCCCTTTTCTTGTGATCTATGCCTGGCTGGCTGGCTAGCTGAGAACTAACGTCTGTGATGCCCTGACGGAATGATGTACTTAATCGTGCCGACGATACTCTGCGAATGTTTATGTATTATCCATGACTAACACAGGCTTATTAGCCTCCCCATCACGCAAGAGTCCTGTTCACTAGGCTCGATTGCACAGGATACGTTGAGACTGTCTTCATGGATCTTGGCCAAGTAGTTGGCGCGGTTCACTGTGGGTCGCTCAAAAAAAAGCTTCGTAGGTACGCATTGGCTGGAAATACCCTCCAATCGACTGGTTGCGTTCTTGACCTTTCGACCTGCATCGTCGACTGGGTTGTCCATCAAATGTATTCCTTTGCTCCTTCCGTTGTGTCAAATATAAGCCCATGCTGCAGAAGTGTCCCTACGTGGTTAAAGTACAGGACTGCGAGACGTAGTAATCAGAATGCTGTTAACGTTTGTAGACTAATTTAAAATTCTGAGCCGTACCGCAGACTATGCTTTTGATCGGGCAGTTTTGTACCGACCTTTACATTCGCTGAGGCACATAATAGCTTTAGTCTTGGCAATATTCATTCAAGGACTTTGTAAACTAGGGATAGCAGTAGTTATCAAGACATGATATCTCCCTGCTTCGCGCACATTGGTGACTATATAGCACTACTTAAGAAGCGAAAGTTGTTTGTTTTCTGCCATGTTTCCTTATTGTGAGTTTTTTCTACCAGATTTTCATTCTTTCCTCTTTTTTTCCATCCTTATTATTCCGTTTTTAAACGCATTTGGTTAACTATTCAACATTTCCTAGGGCTTAATGGTTAATTCTATTATCGCTTAAGGCTCAGTACATTCTGCGTGCATAAGTACGATGAAATTAATTAAATTCAATTCAATTATTTTTATTAAAGACCCGTCGGGGTCCCATCAAAGCAAGTAAAAATAAATTTACATGCGAATTTTAGACGAGGTAGGCAAAATCTTTACAAAGTGCAATACATAGTTTTTGAGATTGGATGTCCGTTAAGCAAAATGAAAATGAAAAACGAGGGGTGAAAAAAAACTCCAAAGTAAAATTTAAAAATGATTGTTGTAATTTAACAGGAGAAAAAAACCCTCAAAAGGTGGTGCCAGTTGTTGGCGGGGAACTTAACGATTCAAGTCTCGGGACTTCATTACTTTGCTTTGCCAATGCATAGCAGGATGGGACAATCTATCAAACGGACAAACAATAACCTAACTCCGCAGGAAGGAATTAGCCACCTATGTGAATGGTCCGGTAGATGACCTATCAATGCAAGCTGATGTTCTCTTTGTTAGTAAAAGAGTTCAAAGAAAGGCGACAAAGTGTGTCAAGGGGCTAAAATCCATACCACGCTAGTAACATGCACATTTTAATCTTTTTCCCAAAGAACATAGGCAGACACTATGTAAGCTTACACTGGCTATTCGGATTGGAAGGAAACGGGACTGTGCCCAGAGCTCCCATGATTGATTCGTATTAGCCACAACAAGCAAGATGTGAGGGAATTCCATTATAATTGGGGGAGACTTGTGGCACCTGGATTTTGGTCAACACTCCTCACCGCCGCGTAATGTTTATAGACACAACAGTACCACCTTAACCCCAATTATGTTCGGCACTTCAGTTTAGTTCACTATGTTGGATGGTAATAGACAGTGCCCTTGAAGATGTAATATTCCAAGTGAGATGGAGACAGACAGTTCAAACCATACACGATGACGTATTACGCGGAGACCGGTGACGATTATTCATTTAGTATTGATAATAAAGCACACACGAAGTGCGGATTGACGAAATTGAAATACAGACCAGACTCCTACCGAAGTTATTGTCAATTGGGCAGACCTAAATAATGAAAACAAGAAATAAAATGTTACCAGGAACGTATAAACAAAGTACACCTGAAGTTTGGCATGTGTGACAAAGCCTCCCTCTCCGAAAAGCCACTGTCCTCAGTGTCTGGAAGGAGGAACTCCGATGATTCGGCCAGCTAGGGATTATGATAGGTGGATCAGGAAGTTCGAGGGAGTGACCAGCCTTTAACTTGTTAAAGTGGACGATGTGAGTGTTCGGGTTGTCAGCCTCGCGTATTCGATAAACATTGTTTGGTAAACGCTGGGCGACGGAGAACGGGCCCGACCACGGATTATGGAATTTACTAGGTTGTCCAGGTGGAGGATTTTCCCTGTGAAGCCACACCACATCGCCTGGTTGGAACGGTGAACCGTGTCTTTGTCCAAAGGGAGTTGAAATACCCGGCCGTAAGTCAACATAGCGGGAGTGAAGCCTGTCGACTTGTGCATTGCACTGAGGTAGGATAGTTGACAATGGGGGATAAGGTTGTCTCAGATGTGGTTGTTGGCTGAATCTATGAAAGTTCGTAATAGGGACAAAATAGATTTGTTGGTTCTTTCCGTCTGTCCATTGCCTTGTTGGTGATATGCTGTGGACCTTGTTTTCTGTATGCCTAGTCGGCTACACAGTTTATATACTAAGTGGCTTTCGAAATTGGAACCTTGGCCGGATGGAATAACACTTGGCACCCCGAAACGGACAATCCACGTACACATAATAGCGTCCGTGACCTTAGCCATTGTTTGGTCAGGCAGGGGGACTGCTTCCGCCCATTTGGTAAAAAAGTCGGCTATCACCAAAAGGTATCGATTACCCTTCCGTGATTGTGGGAAGGGGGCCACGATGTCGACTCCAAGGCGCTGATTCGAGTAGCCGGTGGAAATCAGTTGCTAAGGTGCTCTGCGATTGTGCGTGGGACGTTTAAATCGCGCGCAGACTTCACACTCTTGGCATATTAGTGTCACATCTTGACGAAGACTAGGTGACCAGAAACGAAGTCTCGCCACTTTTTCCAGTTTGCATTGTCCGGCGTGACCCAGCTGGTGGTGTAACTCCCATTAGCCATTGCGTGTATGAGACGGAGGGAGGACGAGGCTGGTCAGGGATTGGGGGTCATACTGGAAGAAAAGCACTCGATCTCTCATAAGAAGGTTTTGCCAGGTGGCCCATAGGGCTTGGGCTTCACAGCTTTCTCTTGTCATCTGATTTTTTGACGGTTTGATGGAACCCCGCACGAATCAGTCGTAGATGAGACCGACGTCTGGATCGTTGGCTCGTAGGTTAGCCCAGTTCACCGCCAAAGTGGTCATCGACAAAGCACTAACATCGAGATCTTGGCAAGCAGAGCAACTGTGGAGCTGGCCCATGGAAATTCGCGATAGTGCGTCCTCGCTGATGTGTTGCTTTCCAGGGCGGTGTACAACGGTAAAGTCAAAATCCGCCAACATTTTCTGCCACCTTGCTACTTGTCCTTCTGGTCCATGGAAATTTTCTAGCCATTCCAGAGCTGAGTGGTTCATCCTGATGATGAACGGTTTGCCTGTTAGATACGCAGCAAATTTCCTGGTGAAAAAAACCAAAGCTAGCATCTTGCGCCGTGTGGCGCTATAATCTCTTTCCGATTTATCAAGCGTACGGCTGCCGTACTGCATAACGGGCTCTCTGCCATCGGTGTCGGACTGCGACAGTACTCCTCCTATGGCGTGACTATTAACATCTGTATCTAGGAAAAATGGGGGTCCGTCACGGCTGAGAACGGGGGCGACGGTAAGGGCTTCTTTGAGGCGGGTGAATACGTTTTCGCACTCTGTCGCCCACCTAAATGGTTGGGATTTCTCGGTCAGTTTCGCGAGGGGGAAGGCAAGGAGAGTGTATGACGGAATGAAAGCCCTGTAGTATCCTACTGGGCTAAGGAATGATCGAACTTAATCTCCGTTGACCTGTTGTGGCCAGTCTTTGACTCCGTGGATCTTGTCGGGATCCGTTCTGAGGCCCTCGCTGCTTACCATGTGTCCGAGGAAGTGAATTTATGTGTGGAGAAACTTGCACTTCCTTGGATTGAGCGTCATGCCGGCCTCCTGGTACCTCGTTAGGACCTCTGAAAGGTTGCCTAGAAGTTCTGATATCGTGGTACCCCACATTATGACGTCGTCTAAGAAAGCAAGGCACTTCGATGGACATGGGTTCTTTAGTAATTTCTTTATGAGGCATTGACAGGTCACCGCTGTATTGGCCAAGCCCATAGGTAGTGCGGTGAACTCGAAGAGTCCTGAGGGCAAGGAAAAGGCGGTATTGGCGCGATCCTCTGGGTGTACTTCGATTTGCCAGTAGATTGAGGAGAGGTCGAGGGCAGAGAAGCATTTCTTCCTTGTCGTAGAGGCTAGAAGGCCATTCATACGGGGAAAAGGAAAGGAATTTGTGACCGTGACCGCGTTGGGGCGTCTGTAGTCAACACAGAGTCGAAGAAAATTGTCCTTCCTTCTGACCAGAGTTACCGGCACTGCCCACGGGGAAGAGGATGGCTGAACAATGTCTTGTTGGAACATGTTTTCTACAATTTCATTTAGTTTTTTTTCCGAAAGTGGAAGGGTATCCGTCGGGGAGGGAGGTGCTGTGGAAGGGCAGATCCGGTGTTTATTCGGTGTTAAACTACGTTGGACCGTCCAACAGCATGGTCTGCCCACGTGAAAACGGATCTGAACGGTACCAACGCGTGGTAGAGGGCACGACGATCATCGGCCTAAATGTTGTCCGGTAGGACGTCTTCAATGGAAGAAGGGTTGAGAGGTGGTCATGTATCAATTTCGACACTGTTTCCGTCCACGGTTACCTTGTCGTCTTTTATGATGAGGGACTGAGAAGTGGGGGAAGGTAATGGATTGCGCATGCCGTTTTACAAAATCACAGCCGAGTATGACATTCCATTTGAGTTCGGTGGTCAAGAGGAAGCAATGTCGGATAGTTTTGTCTTTGATGGAGACTAATACTTTGCGGAGGCGCTAAGCTGGAGGATGAAATTGTTAGCAGTGAGAATCTGTAGTTGATGAAATTCCGCCTGATTGTAGTTCGTTCCACGGAGGAGGCTAAAGTGAATACGGGAGACGTCTGCGCTCGTGTCTATAAGAATGCTGACTCTCTTATTTACCACTGTGCCCGAGATTATCAATGGCTTAAAATCAGAGGGGAGGGTTATAAAGCGGCCAGGGGAAGGGATGGTTACCTGCATTGTGGCCGCATTTCTTGGCGGCTGTGCCGAAGCGGTTGCAGTTGTAACAGTGCGGGTTATTCGGCGGACCTGGAAACTTGGGAGGTTGGAAAGGTCGGCTTAAATTGGCGTGTTAGGGTGTAAACCGGTCTGGAAGGCTGGGAGGGTGACCCTACCTAGTTGGGTCTCTGGTGGCTTGAGGTTCCTGAGCCAAGGGAAATTTGGTGCATAGAGCCGCGTCCAAGTCAAGAGTCTCCTTGACGTTGGGCGGTGGACGGTTGGTGAAAATCAACGCTAGTTCTCTGTCGCGTATACTCGACATCATGCAAAAAAACGTTAGGCGTTCTTCGCCGTGGGGTGGAAAGACGCGAAACGACAGGCGTTTTAATTATTTATGGAAATTCAACAGAGCCTCGCCTTCCCGTTGGGTTCTTTTGAAGAACCGCTGTTTTTCCGCGGCTTGACTTGGCTCCGAATAAAATATCTGTTGAAGAGCACCAAAGTATTCTTTAAATGAGCAGAAGGGAGAGGGCGCTAGCCCATCTACCTTGTTTACAAGTTCGGGGACGAAAAAGGGATTTAAGCGTATTCTTCCTGACGGTATCGGGGACCGAATCCGAGAAAGGCTCTGTTGAAGAGATCCATTGGGCTAGATTGTCACTATGACGTAGGATTGGGGGTTTTATCGGATGGAGAGTGAAGGCTAATATGGAAGATGTCGGGTAGAGTTGATTTGGTGATGGGGTTAGAACAGGCTTTGGCCGAGGACAGTGTTGTATGTTTTTGAAATGTTGGCGAGACTAGAATAGGTTTCAGGAAGGGTGAAGGGCGACGGATGCACGCCGTTGTGATTTTTGGACGTGAGCCAGGCAGTACCGTGGGTTCCCGAACGGGATCTTTCGAGCCGGGCATCGCTGCCACCAAGTTTGTAATATTCCAAGTGAGATGGAGACAGACAATTCACACCACACACAATGACGTATAACGTGAAGAGCGGTGGCAAGTATTTATTTAGTATTGATAATAAAACACACGCAAAGTGCGGATTGACGAAATTGGAATACAGGCCAGACTCTTATCGAAGTTACTGTCAATTGGGCAGACCTAAAGCATAAAAAAGAAAAAAAATGTTACCAGGAAGGTATAAACAAAGTACATCTGGTGTTTGGCGTGTGTGACAAAGACCCTACTTAGACGACACATGCCATATTCCAATTCAAACGGACATGCTACAAATTATTGTCAACAAAATATAATTTAATAGAACATTATCTCAAAAATATGAGACCGCAAACCTCAGTTGTGGAAGATAGTGTCAAGTATGGAATAATAGTCATATGCATAAGCGGTAGGTATGTGCGAAGCGCTGGTTGGTGCAACAGAGCTTTCCTGACCATCTGGGCGGTATTTTTAAAACAAAAATACATCCGGTTTTTTAATGTATGTTGGGTCTGCGATTATTACGTCCTCAAAAAGTCCGTTCTAGGTACCGACAACTCTCTGCGAAAACGGGTACCTACGAACATCTGGGTGAGATCTGGTCCCTCGAAGTTTGTGGGAGTTCCCACGTAGGTTTGTTCCCGTGATCAATGAGAAGTAGTAGTCGACGTACAGGGCAGAGTCCCGATTCCTCACAATCCGGTAGGTTTGCATTAGATCTCTTCGGATCTGGCAGCCCTTAAGAAAAAACTGGTTATGCACACCAAGTCTGCGTTTGCAAGATAAAGTATTAACGCCCTTCACGATTTTGATCGCCATTCTCTGGACCCTTTTTGATCAATTTATTATGTTTTTAGCAGGGCGCACCACGCCTGGATTCTATACCTCAGCTGCAAGGGAATAAAGGCCCGGCATTAATTTCCAGACAGGTCTATACCTATGCCAATGAAGTTCTTTCAATGACAAAGAATACACTAGTTGCCCTTTTCGTCGTCCTGGCGCATTGAGAGGAGGACCTCAGAGATAACTCAATGATTATTCGGGGCCCTTTTTTGACCGCTTTTGACAGGAACTTTTCGTCAAGGAGGTACTGATGATCATCTCCATCTGCTCTCCTTCTTCGTATCGAGAAGCGGTGCGACACATTTTTCAATGTTGAAACTCAGCAGCCGTTTTTCAGATCAATCACGTAGGCAGTTAAGTCCTTCTTGCACAGTCAATTCATAAGTTTCGCATTTGATCGCACGCCACATTTCAATGTCATCCGTAGTCGAGTCTTTTCACGCAGATATTGACATAAATCAACAACAGTAATGGTCCGAGCACAGAGCTCTGAGATACCGCACTCATAACTGGCACTGACAATCATTTCGTACTGCCAATTCGCACAGACTATGATCTACAGATCATGAAGTTCTCTAAACAGTCTAGTAGGTTCGTCTTTATGCCGGACTCACGGACCTTGTAGAGTAACCGAGAGTGTAGAGCACTATGAAATGCCCTCTGTAAGTCGATGCAAACGACGTGGACTCTTGTGTCTTCCGCTAACGGGCGGGATCACTGCACCATCAAATGGAGTATTTGGTCAAAAACATTTCTCCCTCGGAATTCATGTTGAATGCTGTCAAAGAAATACTAATCCTCGAGGACCATTATAGTAGGTTATGTTTATGATCCTTCTAATAACTTTTCTACAGATGAAGGTTGGACTCACCGACCGACAGCCGTTAGCACTTATTTTAAACCCACCTTTGTGAATGTATTATGCATTCGTCGCATTCCAATCAAAGGTGAGGATGCCTCGATCAAAGGACGTGTAGTGACATAAAAAGCCTTTTTGTTTTAATGAACCAAAAATACGGCCTGTAAAAACTTTGACACAACTTTAAAAAATAATTCATCGTCAGGCCTCCAGATTACAAAAGAGGATACGAAATTTTACCACACTGCGGCAACATTGCAAATGGATATTATCACGGACCTTCGCAACATTATGTGCTGTCCGTCCACAGAAACCCCATATACTGCTCTGACGGAGGCTCACATCTGCATTCCCCTATCAATGCAAAAGCGTCTACAGTGCTTGATTTCCGAGGAGGACCTTGGTAACGGAAAGCCTACGCAGTTTCTTACGCGTTTGGAGCGGCAGACGGACGGCCAAAATCCTGATGCCACCATATTCCAGCAGCTTCTCCTCCAATGGCAGCCCTCTTTCGTCCAAGCTATCCTTGCGCCTTACATTCTTTCTTCATCAACAGGCTCGCGGGACCTGCTGACGGCATCCTCGAGTACTACCGACCTGCCGTTATAGTAAATGTTGCTGGTCGTATCACGGCTGCGCCAACTGCGCCTTAAAGCGAGAATGTCATGGAACGTCAAGACCTCCTCATACTTGAAGTTTTCCAGCTGCGTGCTTCGCGTGTCTCTTGCCGTCATAGTCCGTCCACTACCCGCCGTCTGAGGTATCCCACTGCAGTGTCAGCCCCGTCCACCTCTGATAGTTCCTGCTGCTCCCATCACACCTATGGGTTAAATGCCCATCATTGTCAATCCCATTGTCGTTGCGAGAAATTTTCGGCGGAAGATGTACCTGCCGGTCGGTAACGACGGCGAACTTGGTCAGTTCAACCTCCCCAAGTCGCCTGATTCACAGTCTCGACAAGGGTTCCTGCTATAATTTCCTTGTAGACACTGGTGCTGACATCAGTCTAATACCGTCTTCGCTGACTGATCGTAATTCACCAAACTCCTTAATTTTTTTCAAGCAGCCAATAGTACACCCAGTAAAATATTTAGTCAACTCTTCCTGACTTTAGGCCTTGGGTTACAAAGTCCTTTCCGGTGGATATTTATTATTGATGATGTTCATGCCGCCATTCTCAGTGCTGATTTTATATTGTTTTTCGGTCTCCTCGTTGATACCGGGTCCCATAAACGTTTTGACACGATGACATCCTTATATTCTAATCGTTCAAATTGTACCACTACATACCCTGGTCCATGCACTTCAGTACTTCCATTGTCCATTCTCTTTGATTATTTTCTTTCAGAATTGTCGCCTGTTAGTCGGCCTCCACAGTTTAACGCGCCCATTAAACATTCCGTCATGCATCATATTTCGACTACAGAGCCACTCGTTTTTAGACGTCCTTGTCGTTTAGTGGCTGAAAAATTGGCTATCGCCAGGGTCGGATTCAGCCATATGATGGAGCTTGGCATGCCCCGGCCCTCTTATAGTTCATGGGCCACTCCTCTGCACATGTTGTGCAAAAAGTTTCTCGTGAACTGGTGTCCATGTAATAATTACCGACAAATTAAAAACTTGTCAATACAACGGGAGATGTGAGTTCCGGGAAGTAGTTGATAAGAAGCAGAAGCGGTCGCTGGAACAACAGCCTTATTCGTCTGACGTTTCAGATTCTTGCTCCAACCCATCATCAGAGACAGTGGCAGAAAAGAGTGACTCGTGCACAGGAAGTTGCAGTATTTATAGGATGCAGTCGCTATGCTACCGCATACCTATAGCAATTAGCCTCGCTCCCCTTCATCAACGAATGTTGCCCGCTGGTGCGCTAATGGCTTGATGGTCGGCATGCAAGTTGTTAATTGCTGAAATCTTATCGTCCGTGTTGGATGCTGGCGTGATGATTGCTCGGCCATTTGGTTCACTGGCTTGCGCGCTCCCCGAGTTGTCAATTACCTTGGCCAGCCTATGCCTCAGTAGGGAATATGGAGTGGGGATGTAGTTACACTTCTTGATATACTGAGGTCCAGTGAACCCTGACTCAAGCAACTCGAGGCCTCATCGAACTTGAATATGTGGCTGGATCTCGTCGAATGGGCCGCGACCTGAGAGTTAACGTCGTTTCTCCGCTTTGCTGCCGCGTGTTCGGAGATTCGCGTCCGGGGCAGTCTTCCAGTCTCTCTGGCGTAGTTGTTTTGTCCGCAACTGCACGTGATCCGGTAAACGACTCCAGACGTTTTTTGCCGTGGCAGTGGGTCTTTTGGTCTCATCACCTGACGCCAGATGGTGGCCTCCAGTCTGTGAGCAACTCTAACCCCAAGTGGTGCAAGATGGCGACTAACGGCCGCGGAGACGTTCTTGATGTACGGGATCGCTTGCCAGAATTTGGGGTCGGCACGATTTTGTCGTTCGTCTCGTTTGCGCATGCACCGGTTGACGAAGTTGCGCGGGTAACCATTTTCTCCGAAAATCCGTCGAAGATATTGGAATTCGGCAACCCTATCTGCCGGTTCACTGCAATGCGTCTCAACACGCCGATGTAGCGTTCTTCCGCAACTGCGTTTGTGGCCGATTACGTTGTTGCTGTTGATATTCAGTATATGCGCGTGTTTTCCGTTTTCCTGAATACTTTGGTCTTCAGGTCAGCATAAACTTTGTGACAGACGGGAACATCAAGGAATGCCAGCTGGTTACCTTTACTCTTCCATCGTAAATTGCATGTTTGGGAAGACGTTGTTGAGACGTTCTTTGAATTTTAGCACATGATTCCGTTCGATGACGACAAAGGTATCGTTCACATACCGAGCCCAGAATTTTGGTCTGTGGTGTTGAAAGACCAGCGACTCTAACCGCTGTAGGGCCACCTCGGCGATGAACCCCAAAATCGGCGAGCCCATTGGTGTTCCCTTCACCTGCTCGTAGACTGTTCCGTCAAACGTGAAGTACTTCCTGAGAAAGAAATTAAGGAGCTGAAGGAATTGGGCATGTCCGAGACGATTCTCCGTTTCATCGTATTTGCTTTGTAGTAGCAGCTCGACGGCCTCGATTGCCAGATTCTGGGGGATAGATGTAAAGAGGGACGTGACACCAAAAGATATCATGACCTCATTTGACAAGATACTTACTTCTTTTAGCTTTTCCAGGAATTGTGTTGGCGAACAGACGATGGTGGCCGAATCAGCGGTCAGAAATTTGAGGCGCCGAAACAGCCATTTTGGCATTTCCCTGCTGTTGTTCCTAGCACACCGTGTAGACGTTTTTGATTGTCATTCCGCAAACGCCAAGGTTTCAGCCATTCGCGAGTGTCCTGATCCCACTCTTTCCCAACAACTGCGCAGTTGCATGGATCTTGTCTGTTTTTATCCTCGTTTCATCCCTCATTGCGCTCAACTGATGTCACTCTCACAAATCCTTCACGGGGCAGCAACAACGAACCTTCTTTTCCTGACCCAGTCGTGTACGCCTTCCAACGTGTCAACGAGACGCTAGAGGGTACGACTTCTCTTTCTAATCTTTTGTATGATGACCTTCTCGCCATTGTTGCTGACGCCTCCAATTGCACCATAGGTGCAGCAATCCAGCAACAGACCCCAACAAGCATCCAACTCCTATCCTTTTATTCTGCCAAATTGACGCTCTCAAACTCGTTATGACACCTTTGGTAGAGAAATCCTTGCCATTTGTCATGCCATTAAGATTTTTCGTAACTGTGTTGGGAGCAGAGATTTTTTCACTTACACTGACCATAAACCTCCTACTTATGCCTTCTTCACTCACTCTGACAAATATTCACTGCAAGAGACCCTTTATCTTGGTCTTATTTCTCAATACACCACGGCTATTCGATTTATGTAACTATGTATGTATTTGAGGGGCTGTAGGCAGAGTCCCTGATGACTCCATTTATGCACAATGATTTCACATATTCGCACTCAAAATAAAGTTGCAAACATTCCGAATGTGATCGGTCCACAATGTAGCATTTATTATAAGGAGCGCATCTGTTCGTTGTGCCTCAGTACGGGACGATTGTGCAGGACAAAGTATTTTTCAGAGCTGGTTGTGAGTATTCATGTTGTAAAAGTCGGTCTTTGTCGAGAATTGCGCGAGCAAATTTTTGTTTTAAACATACGAATGGTGTCGGTCGTCATCATTTCACTTGACAGCAAGTCTCATAATCAGACCACCCGTTGGGTGAAAGAAAAGTTCCTGCAATGGAGCCACGTGCATTTGCTTTTGACTCTGCAGGGATGGCTACGTAGTTAATTTGTAGTGGCAAACTCGAAGAGGTCCTCCGAGCGCAGTGAACAACCACGGCCCCATACAGTCCGGAATGTCCAGAGTAGACTGCCGTTTAGTTGGTTACAAGACTGGGGCAATAAACCAGTCATATCCAGCCTCTCACGGTACAACAAATGCTTTGGCCGTTGCTCTGCGATGAACCTGATTGAGTAGGATAATATCCTTCCTCATACATGGTGAAGCTGCTGGAATTACATATTCCAGATGAGGTCTTGCTAAAAAGCCTAAAAGTCTTCCGAAGAGTTCGGGAGGGACTATTTTAAATGCACATTTGATCCAGTGTAAGGTACTAATTGGCTTCTGAACCATCTTTCTACAATGTTCTGATAGTATTCGATTAGTGGTCATCCATTCACCCAAATCTCTACGTCTCTCTACAGTCTCTAATGCTGCCCCGTTAATATAATACTGACGATTGGGAGAGGCGTTTCGGCCGGCGCTTAGGTGCAAAACCATGCATTTGGACAGGTTGAACTTTCAAAGCAATTTATTCGACCAAACACTCAATTCGCTGATGTTCGATTGCAAATTCTTTGCGCTATCAACGCGCTAGACTTCATTCCACATTCCTATGTCATCCCTGAACATGAGAGCCTCGCAGTCTAGTTCGCTGGTGCAATCATTTACATAAATCAGGAAGAGCTGTGGGAATAGGGGGAACTCTAGCCAGGTCTCCGACGGTCTACACTAACCTGGAATTAATGTCATTGTTTACCCTTCCATAAATTTGGAGCGCATGGCTGAGCTCCAACAACAGCCAATTTTTTTTAAACAACTGGATCCTATGAACCTTCAGATGAAAGCCATCCTTCTGTTCGCCACTTCCAAAACCACCTTCTGCGATGTGTCTCGCAACTCCTATCGCCCCATAATACCAAGCAAGCTGAAATGGGATGTTTTTACCGCGTGACACAATCCCGTTTACCCTGGCATCTGGGCTACACAGTGCTTCGTCAGCGGCCCTTTTGTCTCCTCATCGTGTGCACTGAAATCCACCAGTGGACTCGCTCATGTATAGTCTGTCAAAAAGCCAAAAATTGGACGTCAAAGTAAACCCCAAATTGGGACCTTTATGGTGTTCGCTGTAAGTTTAGCACTATTGCACGTAGATCCCATGGGTTTTTCGGCAACAACCCGTGGTTGCTATCACTAGTTTACCGCAAATGACCGATTTACGCAATGACCCATGCCAACGCCGACTCCAAACATCGCTGCAGGTGCGGTCGCTCGAGCATTTTGGAACGCTGTACTTCTTATTAAGGTGGCCCCAAAACTATTTATCAAAATCTACACAAGAAATTTGAATTTAAAAGGTTTCATGCCCTTCCTGACCGCGTCGGCTGTTATCGCATGCCCACAACAACATACCATCACTCATTCAACGGTGTATTTCAGCGTTTTACTATTAAATCAAAGACCCACTCAATGCCTATGACAAGTCAAATAAATGGAGCGAGCATCAGAAAGTCATTTCATTACAGTAACTTTATTGCAAACTGAGATATTCAATGGCGAAATTTCCATCAATGGATATAAACTTCTCCGGCAAGACCGATCGCATAAAATGGTAGGGTAGTGACAATATTATGTCTACAGAGGAATCGTCCGATCTGAACGCAAACTTTTTTACTCATGTTACATCAAAGCAGTCTGGTCAGAACTCAAGGGACGTGGGGCACCAAATCTGAATTTCCTGATCGTATACAGGCCGCCCAATCAAACTCAAAAAGTTGATGAGCAAACTTTGGGTTAATTAAAGAGGAGACCAGAGCCAAGAAGCCCTGAAAGCCGGATATTTTAACACGGTAATAATCGACTTGAACGATTTATCAACAAACGGGTCGCATAATTCCTTTGATTCCAGGCTCTTGGCATCGGCGAGTAATCTGCTTCTCGTACAGAATATCACGTTCACAACCAGAATCAAAGAGGCTCACATGACAAATTGTCTGGACCTCGTCCTTACAAAAGACCCAATTGATGCTTATGAACTTGGGCCCATGGCATCGCTTGGCAAGAGTGAACGTATCATGTTGTTTTGGGAATACCGTTTATACAGCCAGCGAAAGCATACGACTGGGATGCGGTTGAAATTCTGACGAGGAAATTTCGCCGGCATGAGGAGGGAATTATCGCTACCAAACCGACAAGATGTTCTTATTGGACACCCGGATGTCGATTGGAACATTGTAGCGTTCTGCATCAAAACTGTCCGACAAAAAGAATTTAAAAGGGAAATTTTCCTGTCTGGTTAACAAGAGATATAAAGACAGAGATAAACGGAAAAGACAAGTTCTGCAGAGGATATGCGGCAACGAAACAACCTTTGTATTCCAAGCAGTGTTATCGAAAGCGGGCGAGATAAGATCAAATGTCGCGAAATAAATATGGAACATGGACTGCGGATAGGAGCGTTGATGAGACGAATATGCTCTTCAGCAGCATTAACAGCAAGTTCATGAACAAAGAGACGGTCGCAATGTCAAAATAAAAATACAATGAGGACATTACCAAAAACGAAGATAAACCCGTCAGCTTTCAGCGCCTCTGTCGAAGCTCTTTCAGGCGTTATTTGACACAGGAATATTTTCTATCGACTGGAATTTGGCGAATATAACTCCACTATACAAGAGCGACGACACAGCGTCGATGACAAATTACAATCCCGTAAGCTTGGCATGCGTTCTCAACAAAGTTATGGAGAGGACCATGAAGAGGGGATTAGTACAATTCCTGGAACTACCCTGGGACTACTCTACGGATTCCCGGCGACTTCTCCGGACCATCCCAATGCTTAGCCGATATAAATGCTACCGATTATACCCGACGGTTGCGCCAAGCAATGGCTAATTTCCGGGCCCTACGCGTTCCAGCAGCCCTGAAAACTCCATTTAGACGGTACAGATGTAAGGGAAAATAGTTGATACATGAGCAGCTCGCTAAGAGTCCAACAGGCACCCTTAGCGAGCTGCTCATGTATTATACGTGGTATGTGTCCTCTGACACAGCGTTCGTTGTCGCCAGTAGCAAGCTGGCGGGCGGACAGAATGGGATCGAGTGAGATCCTAGCCACAACAGTGAGAGTCAAACGCCCACTTGACATGAAAATAGTTGAATTGCAAAGCTTTTGCATTCAGTTTTAGTAAGTAGAATTAATAAATTAAACAATGTAACATAAAGGCGAAAAGGGTATGGCATTTGCGAAATAATTACGAAAAACTTTGTTCCCGTATTCGGACTGTGAAAATTTCCATATGGGTCAAGTTTAACGCACAAAAAGGATCTGTTGAAATCATGTTAGTAGTATATTTATAACCATTTAAGTAATCAACCAGATCAGGCTTCGGCAGTTCGGGTTGCCTTTCAGCAGGTGAGTATCCAGTTCTATCTTGAACACACTCACGGTAGAGGAGTTAACAAAATACGCCGGCAAAGAGTTCCACTCGCGAACGACCCTCTGTAAGAAAAAGGAGGAACGTTGATTTGCGTGGCACAGTTCCTTCTGAAGCTGGTAATCGTGCCGTCAGACTTGGGTGTCATTTTAAAAAAAACGTTTCACAGTCAACATCCAGACTAAGTCCTCTTAGCAACTAAAACGTTGCTATGAGGTCAACTCTGTCCTGCCTGCAGTGGAGAGGATAGAGTCTCAGTGTCGTCAGGCGCTGCTCGTACGTAAAATTTTTGAGTTCATGAACAACACGTCGCTGTGCACCTTCAAAAATATCTATATCCTTCCGCAGCCACGGCTGCCAGACCTCTACCGCATACTTCAAGTGCGACCGCACAACTGCCTCATAAACCTTGTCAAAGACAACAGGCCCGAAAGTTGCTATCTACGACCACGGTCCACGATCTGCTCTTCGCCGACGACGGCGCATACAACACTACGACCGAATAGGAAGTGCAACGCAGCCGGATC